GCCCGGCCGCCCGCCGCGGGACTCGGCGGCGTCTCGCTGCTCCTCGCGCTGCTCCTGGGGAGCCTGGCGACAGCCCTGGCGGGAGGTAAGCGGCGGGGGGCGCCCGGCCGGGGAGGGGGCAAAGTTGTCGCCAGTGCGGGGCGGCCGGGGGTCGTGGAGGATCCCGCCGTTTCGCTCAGTGCTCGGCCGCCTGGGTAGCCGAGGCGGCTGCCCGAATTCGGGGCTGGAGCCGTGTCCCTTCGGCTCGGGCCGATGGGAGTGTGGAGGCGGGGATGAGTCTGGAGGACTCGGGCGCTCCCCCGCTTCGTGCGGGCTCCCTGTCCGTCTTCCCCGGTGGTGGGTTGGCTCCCTTTTGTAGCCACGGAGGAGCTCCTTGGAGGGTGGTCGCCTCCACACCCCACATTCCCGGAGCTCTCTGCAACCGCACCCGGGGCTGGCCGCCAAATAATGCTGTCCCTCGGGGAGAAGACAGGAACAAGGGGGCTGCCCTACAGCCGAGGACTGGACTTAGTGCTGGGGGCACCCCTTGCCTCCTGCGGCTGGCACCGTAGGTGGATCCCCATCAAGCCTAGGACCTGGGTGTGGCTTTTCCAATGAAGCTGGTGGACGGTGCTCAGGGGTCCAGAACTTGGCAAGGCAGAGAGAAGATGTGAGGTGGCGGTCGGGAATGTGAGTGGACTCCCCTTATACTGCCCCCCACAGCCTAGCATCTCTGATCGCCGTCAGGAGTGGGGAGGGGGCGCTGATTTCACCCACCACGTGCTTGCTGGGTGGGAAGAAGGGTTCAACTTTGATGGAGGCCGACAGCTCCTCCTCGGTGGACCTGGAGCCGCACCCTCTCTCCGGGCCACCAGGTCCCCCAGGAAAAGTTATGAAGGGGTTGGGATGGAGGGAGGAGTGGGACACCTAAGTCACCCAAGACGAACCGCAAGAGCTGCGGGAATTTGGCAAGCCACCAGGAGAGTAAGAGTTGTGTGTAGGGGGTGGCACTGTTGGACCACTCAACCTATCTCAGGAGGTCTAACTGGTTCCCAGAAACTCGCTCCTCACATGGAAAAAAGAAAAAAGCTGGCAACTGCAGTGCCTGCCCAGGCTGAAGACAGCCGGAGGGGGTGCGCTCTGCCTCTCTGGAGCCCACCTAGACTGGAAGCGGGGAGGATGGGCGGCGTTGCGGTCTCTCGGCGGGGAGTTCTGGACCCCTTCTGCGCGCACCTGCGTTCAGCACCAAAGGCCCCGGACAGCTCTCGTTCCGTGGGCCCTAGCTCAGGTCTCTTTCTTTCCAACTCTGCTTCCCCAAGACATGGAGTGCCCTCCTCCGCATAAATCAGGCATTTTATCCCCCAGCCCCTTCTCTTTAAACGTGGAGCCCAGGGTGCAGAGCAAAGGAAGTAATTCATCACCTTTTGTTTAACAAAGCATATCATTTAGAAGCCACCTTTTATGAGGCAGTGATATTCACAATTTACACTAGGTCTGGACAATTTCCCTAGGAAAGGTGGGAGAACAGATTTGATTTAAATAAATCGTTTCCACCACAGCATGCCCTTTCTTAATTAGCTGCCTCCAACAATGGCTTGGTGGCCTTGAACTGAGTCCAGATCTCCCTCCCCTGCCCCCCTTTTAAATCTGTGTTATGACTAGCACACACACACACACACACACACACACACACACACACACACGTGCACGCACTCCAAAGCTACCCAGAGGCTTGCTGCCTTTTCTAAAGTGATTCTACCTCTGCGATCTATACTCTCCAATACACAACCCTCCAGGAAAAATGTCTTAATGGCACATATTGAATCGTCACCTGAGACAAGGATTCTCTTCTCTCTCTCTCACTCTCTCTCACTCTCTCTCTCCCCCCTCCCTCTCCCCTTCCTCTGTGTGTGTGTGTGTGTGTGTGTGTGTGTGTGTGTGTGTGTAGGAGGGTTGTGTGTGTGTATTTCAAATTTTAAGACATTTGTTATTATTTTTCCAATTGTTCGACACTGTGGCTAGCCAGCACATATATTTTTTAATTAACTTCAGGTCACCACCAAATTAAAGTCAACTGATGTAGTGCTTCCGAAGGTTCATCAATAACAGTGTGTTCTGCCTCCCAGACTCTGAGTCATAAGGAGGGAGCAAGGGTAGCCAATGAACATCAACAGTTCTGATGGTGCCTTTGGAAACAATTGACCTTCCACAATAAATTCTATTTTTAAAGTGGAGTGCAACATCCACTAATGTCAGTGGAGAAACATCCACTCAGTGTTGCAATTCAGTGTTGCAAACTAGTCCTTCTGCTCCCGGTGGAGTGAGGGGATTTGTAAATACTTGAAAGGGACTTGTTGCTATATTCTCATGCACAGCACGTGATTCTCTGGGCCATTTTGCTGTAAGGCATGCATAAGTATAAAGTATAACTTGTTTTTGAAGAGACTTCTTATTGTCTAAGATATGCACATGGGGAATAATTGTAACTACGTGCTCAGATTGCAGAGCCTGAATGTAATTTCTTTTCTTTTTCTCTTAAGTTAATAAAGCAAATTCAATATTGCTCAATAAGGCTCCAATTCACCTGCTCCCTCTAGTCTCTAATGTGCCTTGTTGTTACATTCACTTAAAGATTCTTTTCCTCATAGTGCTCTTTTTTCGTGGAGTTTTGGCAGCCTCTGCCAGGGACCACCTTATCGAAGCTTGAGGGATTCTTCTTGTGTTTCACGTGGTGCACTTGGGTATTGGAAAAATCATGTAACATTCATTTCCTTCAGTGTCCAAGGCAAAAGGATGTGTCCTGGTCAGAGTAGCTTGTTTCAGGTTCTTGCTGGAGCATCCATTCCTGCAGGCTGTTCAAACTGGCTCAAAGGCACGAGTTCTCTTAGTCGCTCGAGTTCCTGCTGTGAGCCCACGGTGCAGACCACCACTAGGGGCGCTCAAAGCTATCCTTGGTGACTAAGGGCAAAAGAGAGGCAAATTCTCACGCAGGGAACTCCCAGGTGTGTAAAAAGCCAAAGCCTGTAGAATTGAGATCTCCTCCTAGAGGTGGCCCGGTCATCCTCTCTATCCTCCCTCTTTCGACTTACTACACATGATCTCTATTTCTCAGGAGAAATTTTTTGTGACTCAATACATGCAATGAAAAAAAAAAAAAAAAAACAGTGAAAAGTGGGCAGAAGAATGCTCCAAGGAAGGGAAAATTACAACACAGAGCCCAGCTGCCCCTTTTATACCAGATCATGGTTTCCATCAAGGAGCTGAATTGTGAAGCATCAAAGAACTTGTGGCCAGGCTGTTCTGGGGAGCCTGATTGAGCTGAGCACTGGAATTAGGTTTTCAGAGTTCAGGAAAAGAAGTATGACTTTGGAATCAGAGCAGCCTGGGTCAGGGTCCCAGCTCCAGTGTTCAGGAATGTATGACTGTCTATAGGACAGTCTCCTCTGAGCCTTTCTTCTGCATCTGTGGCATGGGGACAAGAGAAGAGGGGGGCTCGTGGTACCAGCCTGGAAGTACAGTTACAAGGATTGCATAAGTTGTGTAAAAGTGTCTGGCACACAGTAGGTGCTCAAGCAATGTTTTTGTGCTTTCTCTAAAGCAAACCTCTGAGTAGACACCATAAGTGACTCCCTGAAGTTTGGAGCAAAGTAGATGTTGGCATAAATGTTGACACAGTTTAGGCCAAAGTAGAAGGGCAGAGAAGGAGGAGTAAGTAGCCCCAGTTGCCTGTCTGCTGTCTCTGACAGGTAATAATGTTACGTTTCCTGGTGCAGATACCCTCCCTTTCCAAGCCCTCATGCTGTATCTCTTTGAACCTCAATGTCACCATCTGGAATATGAGTTCATTGTATTGGAAATGCAGGGCGGCAGGTTAATGGTTGGAAAAATGCAAGAAGACAATTAGCTGGGGAAAGATACTTATTCATTCGTTCATTCATTCCTTCATGTTCATACACTTGCTGGGCATTTCCCATGTGTCTTAGTCAGTTCAAGACGCTATGACAAAAATACCTTAGATGGGATGGCATAAATGATGGCAATTATTTCTCACAATTTTGGAGCCTAGGAAATCCGAGATCAAAGTCTGGGCAGATTTGGTGTCTGGTGAGGGCCCTCTTTCTGGCTTGCAGATGTCCACTTTCTAGCTGAATCCTCACAGAGCAGAGAAGGAAACCTATGGTCCTCTTGCCTTTTAAGGGCACTAATTCCATCATGCAGGCTCCACCCTCTTGACCTCAGCTAAACCTAATTACTCCACTTGTAAATGCTATTACACTGAGAATTGGGGCTTTGAGTTATAAATTTGGGGGAGATCTGGATTTTTGATCCATAGCACTGCACATGTAGTAGACCCTGTGCTGGACACTGAGGCCCCTGCTCTGGTATCTCTAGCCCAGCAAGACAGCTCTGCAAGTCCAGGCTGTGTGCTAAGTGCTTTGGCAGTGGGAAGACATAGAGCTCAGGGACCTCACAAGCGGGTGGGTTTATTTCTTACCCCAGAGCAAGGAGCATTCGATCTGGCCCTGCAGGGATGTGACAGATACCAGAAGCCAAGACAGAGCCCTGCAGTAGGATAGTGACAATTCTGAAGAAGCTTCACTCTCAGAACTGGAGAGAGGGAAACAAGAGGAGAGAGTGGGAGAGCAAGGGAGGCAGGTGCACATGCTCTTCCCTGACAAATAACTCCCCCCTGGACATCAGGGGTTCCCTAGATGAGAGCTGGAGCAAAGAAAGGACTGTGAGCTGCTATTGTCTGCTAGAGGCTGCGATGGCGAGAAGGAAGCTTCTGGGAAGGTGGCAGTGAGGCCCAGCTGCTAAGAGCTGACTACAAGGAGTAGCCCTGAGTAAACACTGCTCTCCGGAATCTGCAGATTTCCATAATCCCCTGGTCCAGGAGTTCCTTCCAGCCAGCCTCGTGGGGGCTCTGACAGTTGGGAGCAGGGCAGGAACAGGGCTGCACTGAGAGGAGGCAAAAGAATGCTGAGGTGGGAGGAGTCCATAGAGTCCTGTGGACCTAATTAAGTAGAACGAGGCAGGGACTGTACCTAAGCAATGGGAACCACTTACCAAGTGCTAAATTTGTGCGAAGCCTGTGAGAAGTGGTTTATATAGATCCTGCAGAAAATCCTCACCAGAGCTCCCCAGGAGAGATGCAGGTAGTCTCCTTAATATCCTCATTGTATGAACTGAGGAAGTTGAGGCACAGAGAGGATAAGAAATGTGCCTGGCATCACAAAGCCACGAAGAGGTTGCAGTCTAGCATGGAGCCCAGACCTGCACCAGAATCTCTTAGCAGCAAGTGTGTGTATTGTATTTAGGATTTTTGCTAAATAAGACTATAACTGCTCTTGCCACTGGAGGGATAAGTGGGTAACTGTATGAGATGATGGAGATGTTAATTTGTTTCACGATAGTAACCATTTCTTTTATGCATGTATCTTGCAACATCCTGTTGTCTACCTTAAATATACACAATACAATTTGGTTGGTTTTTTTTTAAAGGAATCTCTTGACACCGAGTCCCCTAGAGTGTTTTCTATCTTGCATTCCCCAAGCCCATGCATAGCGGAAGAGCTGATAAATATTTGTCCACATGTGAGGAACGTGTGCCTGGTGTGTTCCTAACACAGCTCCTATCATATAGCAAGCATTTGAGTAATGCAGGTCAGATAGTGGAACTGTGGTGGTTT